CTTTCCCCGCTCCCATATAGGCGCTCTTGGCACTTCCGCTTTTTCGATTGACCGTTTATACTTTATAGGGCCCCGCCTCTCTTTGTTTTACGTGATACCGTCTTTCTTGGGACACATCCATTTTTTTATATGTTCATGACTCTGGAAATATTCACTTTTTTCGTTACGGACAGCTCTTGAATCGCGCTATACACGTCGTGAATGAAAATATACACTAAAGGAAAATCCCGAGAATGCAACAACATGGGATAGGCCGCGTTCGCGGAAAACGCGCATTTTCCCGTCTATAGCAAATATAGAATCTTTTTGCTACAGAGAAAGAACCACACCATTTATGAATCAAGCTCGTTTTCTTTGTACTTTTCCGCGTATTTTGCTGATTGGCCCATTGTCTCATATTGCGCAGTGCTCACGGCCCGTGGCATAGCGAAGGCAGCAGCAGTTTCCCGAGGGTAATGAAAGAATTTACTTTTTGCCGACGTGGACTCTTCAAGCTGCGCAGTTTTATTCTCGTCACCTTTGTTGAATAGATGTGAAACGCTGAAGCCACAGATAAAGAATTTGTCAAAAAACATGACGTCTCGAATTTTAAAGTCAAAAATTATAATTCTTGTCAACGCTGCCAACCGCCGCATGTGTTAAAATTTGAATTACTCCCTTTGTTCGTCAAATTCAAGAAGCTGATTGTCCGAAACAATTCATCACTCCATGAAACGAATGAAGTTGGTTACAGAGCCCATCACTCCGGGATGAAAGTATGCCTTGTTTTTGAAACTAGTCGAAGTTGCGTGTCACACTTCGTGCTCAGGCATGGATAAAGAAAATCCTTGAATATTTCAACAGCAGTAAAACGTAGAACGCGGTTGAAAAATCCTGTCATGGAGAGTTGCGAAGAGTCGCTAAATTTGAACGAATGCCGCTGTATAATCCTGGAAAGTGGACTTCGGATATAAAGCTCGCCTCTGGCGTGGATACGACACTGTTATATTTTATTCACCTATCTAGGTGTCAAAGCAGATGAAGAGTGCCCGAAGGACCAACACTTTCAGTATCTTTCACCTGTATACGAGTGAAGGGAAACCCCTCATTTGACCAATAATGTTGACATATTATCGTCAGAAGTGGGATACTTTTTCGTACACTCATCAGCACAAATTTAAAACCGGAAATTCCCCCAGTGCTTTCCCTAAAACTCTTTGATGGCATGGGTTCACCCTGAGGCGAAAACTGTTCATCAGTAGATGGATTTCAGGCTCCTCCAGAAGAGAAACAGAACCCAGCTGAAAAAGTTTACGTCGACAGATCCGGGCTACTTTTTATTACCCCAGGACCCCAACCACGTGTGCTCGCACTCAGGTTGCTTCGAGAAGATTACCGTATTCGCTCCCAGAATTTCCAGAGAATTCGTTGAATTATCTAGAAATGGAAATCTCCGGGGCAAAGGCACTGTTTCCCCATGCGAGTCGGAGTCCGGCACTGATAATGCTCCCCTAGGCCACAGCCATCCTTCGCAAGGTCTTCTTTCCTTCCGTGGACAAGTAACCAAGCGTTTACCAGAAGCGCTGTCAGTGCTCGCAGGCCTTCACCGAGTGACGACGAGCGAACGGTCTTTAACCGCCGAGTATGATTCCGTCACCCGTTTTTTTTCAGTCGGTTTCAGAGCCTTTCAACTTGTGATCCTTGTGGCGAAAAAAACAGCAAATTTTTAAAATCACTTAACACATAATAAAAACAATAACAACAAACTGTCATGAGTAAATTTACCTTATTCAACAATATTAAACGCATTAACTCAAGCAACGTGTTTCATATGACATCATGCATTAAAACCAAGCTCTCGTGCGAGGACAGCCCATCACATTCGTGAATTCAAAATGTGCTAAAAAATGAAAATATTGATGAAAATGCAATAACATTTTGGTGTCACGGGCAAGCGTATATGCTGAGAGTTGACGTGCGCGAGTGAGTGTTGAATTATTGATTTATTCTGTGGATTTATTGCGTGGTGAAAGGAAAAAATTAAATGTCTCACTTAGTTTCCTTCTAATTTTGATTCATCGACATTTGAACAGAAATATGGCTAACTTTTTAGTGTCACGGCATGTTGGCTAGAGGGTTTATAATGAGCCGACGAGCAAGTGTTAGTTTTAAAAATGGTGATTTATTCTGACAATTCTGTAAAATAGAGCAAATCCCATTTCTCACTTTTGATAGTTCGGAATTTCCACGAAACGTTTACCAGAAATTCAAAGCCAATCCCCATGCTGGTTGAATCTATGCTTTACTTTTTGAATCCCTAAACCAACTTTTTGTGTGGGGTGATCAACAGTCCTTGAGCTTAATGGTGGTACTTTGGTACATAGTGGAACATTGATAGATTGCTCCTGCAGTCCAAGGTAATTTTCAATGAGTACTACGATACGCGCGATACATTCAAGTTGACAAGTATAAAACTAAATTGTATGGAAATATGAATGGAACAATAATAATGACGTTGGGGAAACTGATGTGAAATCGAGAGAACCAAATAACCCAGTCAAGTTGTATGTGATGTTGAGTGCGGTTTGGTGTGTAAAAGTTTAGTGAGGAATAGGTGTGAACTACTGTCATACTGTGGTTGTATTTGGAATCGAAACGATTCAAGCGGAACTTAGTATGCAATACAGCATTTGGTACATAAGGGGTTCCTTTTTTCCTCGAGGAAAGGTTCGCGGTACTCGCTGTTTAATATAAAATCGTGCCCATACGAGGATATGGGACAGGAATGAAAAGATGTGTAACCTGGGCAACATCCCAACAGAAGGTGGATTCAGCGCCTAAGAAATGATAGAACACACTTTTCAGCATTTTCAGTACTAATCTATCATCCGAAAAGGGAAAGTAACCGTATTTTTTGAGAATGCCACAACCCCTCTCGACCTCTTCCACTTCAGAAGATAATAATGCGAATAATTTGCAGTATATTTTTCCACAAGGAAACACTGATTTCATTTTCGAGATTTTTTTTTGTTTTTTGTGCGAGGCGCCAAAAACACTTGTTCATCATCTTACAATGTCAGGCTTTTTCCCCTCCTTTCACATGAAGCCATATTCTCCCTTGACCCAAATTTCCTCATATAATTTACTCCTCGAAATATTGACGGAGTTCCCGGTAAAGTAGCATGTCAATCACGCTGCATAACCTGCATCGACAGCCGACAACCTGACCTCTTTGTGCTGATTGATTTTTCCGAACTACTGTACCTGCTTCCGCGAATGGACTAGGTTCGAGAGCCCTTAAAAATATTGCTTCGCTCAGGCCAGATAAAGGCGTGTTCACTGCGTATCCAAGGGTGCAGGCATGTGAAGAATGTTCTGGTGAACGCCTACGCGCGGCTCTTCGAGTGTAACACGCGAAAAATGAGTCCAACCGAGTGAAAATCTTGAGCATCGTGAAAAGCACGAATTCTCATTTTGAACGCAGTTTTTGGTTTCCTTTCGTGACTTGCTGTTTGGTCAAAGCCCACATTTCCGCTTTATCCGAAAAATACCAGAGATCAGCTGTTTTCTAAGCGATGGTGAAATGAGTGGAAACTGCTGATTAATCATATTTCGTCGTGTGTGCCAATGTCGCGAATTTTTTTTTACTGAAATGCGATGACTAGCATTTTGTCGTTCACCAGTTCCATGTTTGTCTAGTTCTGGGATGTTTTCGTGTTATACTAACATAGCTTCTCTTGCTGATAGGTTCGGAATTCTAAAATTAATTGAGAAGTTATAACGCCTTCAGCAATCATTAAAAGCTCCGTTTTCGCAGAACTTCAGCGCTGAAGTAACTTCAATGAACTTCCGTCTTTGAACGTTATATTCCGCAGTTCTTATAAAAGAGAGCTGAACTATGTTTGAGCCTAAACCCAAGATAGATATTCGAAGGAAAGCTGCTGTTTCGAAAATATTGATAAAGAAACAGCTCGCATGATTTTTAACCAATAACTGTGTGTGTTCTAATCGGTTTTTCTCAGCGCAAGTACCATGCAGTATATTATAAAATTTTCCCCAAACATGGCATCATTATTCATTTTAAATTTCTATGAAATTTCGTAGACCAGGTTCAAGTGCTGAAAAGTGTTTTATATTCGTATTCGTTGCATTTTTACTCCAAGAGTTTGAACTAGCGAAGTTTTTCTCATTAATAAGTGACTGTCCAAAACTAGAGTACGACCTATGAAGACGCAAAAGCGGTATTGTCCCTCAATTTTTTTTTTAATTGCAGAGAATCAAACAAGGTTAATTCTCAAACATGGCTTGAGTAACTTTTAATTCAAAAAATAACTCCCACTGGCACTGAGTCACGATACTTGAGCCTTGTCTTTCCTGACCTAATCCGCGTAGACCCATGAACACGCAAAAGCGATATTGCCCCTCAATTTTTTAATTGCAGAGAATTAAACAAGGTTCATTCTTGAACAAGACTTGAGTAACTTCTTTATTTGGAGAAATACCGGTAAGTACCACTGGCACTGAGTGACGACACTTGAGCCTTTGTCTTTCCTGACCTAATCCGCATAGACCTACGAACATGCAAAAGCGATATTGCCCCTCAATTTTTTAATTGCGGAGAATTAAACAAGGTTCATTCTTGAACAAGACTTGAGTAACTTTTTTATTCTAGAAATAAGTACCACTGGCACTGAGTGACGATACTTGAGCCTTTGTCTCACCTTAACTAATCCACGTAGTAACGAACTACTGCAGCGTGTCCGAGTGACCATTATATAAAAATGGAAGGCCGAGGTCGGTCGTCATCGACGAACATCTTCGAACTTGTTGTATGGTCTATACATTGTTCAAGCTTCATGAATGTCGGCGATACCCGCAGTCGTGTACGCGGAAGAATGCTGTGGCCTATCTTCATGTGTCATTCAATATAGAGCTTTCTGACGTGCGAAAGCAGAGATGCGTTGCGATGTCTCCAGGGACTTCATTGGTTGCTTATTGCTTCTGATGCGCCCGCATTCCTTGTAGGACAACCTCCGTATCAAGAAGCACGAGATACTGTACTCTCGCGCGACAGTCATTGACTCTGGGTCTTGGTCTTGCTACAAGTGGGAGTCGTATCAGTGTTCCTCATGAGTAAGATGGCCAGCAACTCGGTGGTGTATTCCGCGATCGCGAGTTCAGGGGAAGACGTTTGGGTCGGGAACCCGGGTTGGAGAGCAGGATCCAGTCAGTCGGGATCACGTGCGAGTTCCAGCAGCGACACGGAGGGCATCGGGGCGGACAGCGGGATCGAGAACGAGCACGCACCGCTGTCACCGAAAGTTTCCGACGGCTCCGGGGAACTTTCAGCAAATGAATCGTCTTCTTCCGCTTCCGATCAACGCAGCAACGAGTAAGTTTATTATTTAGCATTATTATGGTTTATCCCTCGGATGGTGGAGGGTGATGCGGGGGTCAGGAGAAAACGTCGGCGCGAGGAGAACATGACGCAGAAGACAGGATAGTCAAATGCAGGTGGTGAGAGAAATTGCACCGATTCCATCTTCATTTCCATTTCCGCCGAGGAAATGGGATATTTTTGAAAACATTCATTGTCCATAGGCAAAATTTTCTTTTTCAAGATGAATATAGGAAAACAGGGAAATACTTCAGATGTGTCTCTTTTTTCCCTGCGATAACAGTTAACCAAGCCGAAAATTCTCTAAAGGTTTAGTTTTGCCAACCTTCAGCCATGGAATCAACTGGATATGTCCAGGGAATGTCGCATTTTTCACATCTTTCTTGCTCGGATTATGCAAAGATTATTGGACTTTGGCCATAAAATTGAAGCTCAGCATCATGTGGAAAACATCTACTGAAAATCAGCAGAAATAATTAAAAGCCCATGTTGCACCTTAAATAAACGTTCCCTGTCTAAATTGGTCCTTTTTTTGGGAAGCCCTAAACGCTTCAAAAAATAGCAAAACACTTGCGCTTCAAGATCTGTATCTCTCTATGATGGAAAGCCACGGTACAAGATTGGCTTGTAAAGGTCATGGAAATTTCAACAATTCATTTCCTAGAAGAAGGTTCCATCTAAATTAGGGAAAATACAACAGCAGCAACAACCCTTCAAACATTCTTTCTCTATAAAGAATAAAAACATATTTCTGAATTTACTTCTGCGACGAACATCTAACCAGTTTCACTTATTTTCAAATTATTCCTCTTCGGATTCTATTGCTGTTGATGCAAAAATTGATCCCGGCTCGCCTAAGAGTTAAGTTAGATCATATACTGTACTACCATAGGGTTAGTTCACGAGCTGTAGATTCGACGGGGCTGCTCTACGGCACGCGACGATCTCGAAATGGTGACCATTGCTCATGAGTGATGAAGGTCTGGGTAAACAACTTTTTCCTATTTTAAACTGTGTCGACCGATCCGTTTCTATTCATGGTCATTGTAAAGCACTCCCCCTCAACTATCTGGAGGTCAAGAGTGAAAAAATAACGAAAACATTCAGCGACGCGCCATAGGAAGACCGTCACGACTGTCACGCGTCGTTCTCAAGCGTTATACTCAGGTATCAAAGAGATTACTTCACGAAGACCGGATTGTTTTTACCTTGGATATGAAGATAGCATTCTTTAAAAATCCGTATTTTGAATTTCTCCATGCTTTTCGTGGCCCTTCCTTGTTTAAAATTACCGGTGTAAAAAAAGATCGTGTTTGATATCAAGCAACTTTCGAGAAAATGTCGGACTTCGTTAACTTATAAATTTACTTAGATTTCATTCAATCTCGAAAATCAAAGATTTGAATCAGTGTTTTGTTATAGGAGGAAGGGAATCGTGCGTAAGTTGGTTTAACAAACATGCCCCAAAGGAAATATTAAAATCTCATTCACTCGTGGAAGAGCTATTGGAACAATTTCGACGCAAATTTCTCACTGAAAAATTGCTGTACTGAAAAATAAAGATGCAAACTATGCGGGGGAAAGATATAATTTTATGCAGTACTGCTTGATTTGCTTCATGTGAAATGGCTACCATGCAGTACGTTACCTTCCCTTGAAAGATAATTTGAGTGAGCTGCTATCTGCTAGTTAAAATCATACTAAATTCATCTTGCATTTAAATCTATCGCGCCTAAAGATGTCTGCAGAGTGAAATATCATATAATTTTTCTTCCGCCCTAAACCACAGAGTTTCGTGAGATTTATTGTGAAGCATGTGACAGCATATCTCACATTTCTTGGAAAAATATTTCCAAGATGAATGGCCCGCAAGATAAAGGTGCGTCTCAACGATGGTTATTTGCAAATGAGGCATATTCTTTGAACCATCAAGTTAATGTCGCCGATTTCGCTTTTGAACTTCAGCGAGTATAAGTGGCGCATCCTATTTTATGAGGCGGAATGCTCAGATATTAACGGCCTCGAGATGCGTTGCTTCAGGAGGAATTTTAACTTCATGGTCAGCACGAAAAACGTGACCGTGGAAATTTAGCAAGCATTCATGCTCAGTACGTATGCCATCAGAAAAAGTACCAAATAGAATTGAGCAGTTCCTTCTTATGCGACACATTATTGGGATGCAACGTACTTCGTAAAGGTCCAGTCCGGATGCGGGCTGATGTAAAATGCTGAAAGGCCATTTCATTCGGATACGTTCGTGGAAAAATTCAAATGTACAGTATTCGTAATAAATTATATATATATATATATATATATATATATATAGTGTATCCGTAAAATTTATACTGAGCAGTACTTGATGAATGAATTTTTACGACGCCTGTGATTTTCTTGCCGCTCCCAACTTTCTGGAACATATGTTTGAGCGGTGTTCTGAAGTTATGGTTTTTATACGTGTAGATCGCACTCATCCTTCGACCAATAAGCTGAATAACTATGGGTCAATGTATTTGATTCAGGCTGCAACACAGGATCAAACGAAAAAGTTGTCTTGCCGTGACAAAGCAAAAATCAGGCATGAACGATTACATGTAATCCTGAAGTTGAATGTTTTCTGAGATGTAAGTCTTCTTTTCAGCATATAGGCCGCTGTTTCCTTTAAAATTTGCACACTTTTGCGCCGCACACAATTTTTTCTTGGAATTTTTTTCTAAAATTGGAGGCTTATATCCGCGTGACACACTAATGTCTTATAGATGAAGATGGACGTTATAGTGACAGCATAGAAGTAAAATCCCTTTTAAGTTTATTCTCTCAAATCCCGCTAATGCGGCCTGTTTTAATTCGCTCTGATTACCGCTGTCGGTGTGCCGTATTTTAAGCAAACTTTATCCTCATCTGTAGCAGAAGTAACGAATTCTTGCATAAAATTTCGCATGATTCGCAATCCACATAGACGGGAAGTGAAAAGCCTTGAGCTTTTCCGTCTGACTTGTTTAAGCTCATTACACTCCTGGGTTCGTTTGAAGTAAGGCGTGGGATGAAATTCCACACGGGAATCAGTTAGGTGATTGAAATTCTGGAGTGTTGCTGTGCGGTGTGGCCCAGGACGGCTACCCCGCGGCTGCAACCCCTGCGGGCTTCGGGCTCCTGGTGCCGACCCCTTCGCGAACCCCTGCATTCTGACTTGGAGCCTCAGTCTAGGGTCTGCCTTCGATCCCCGAGGACCACCGCGTTTTACCAGTGACACGCACGTTGTTCCTCGGAAAACACAATGAAAGCTAATTTGTCCGGTCCAGAATTTCCTTGTCTTCGACGCTAACACAGCTTTCCAGTTGAGGTCAAACGGCGTTCATTTTCATTTTCTGACAAGTGGAATCTCATCCCAGATACACTGCTTTCTTAAGGATTATTGGAGCTCGCTTCTATTTTTTCTGCAAGCAAAAACAGTTACATTTTATAGATAATATTGTTTCAGATAAGTGTCATTATAATGTATCCGTGCTACTTGCTGACTACAGAAAAGGCTTCGTTTCAAGGAGTTGGAAAACGTAGACAAGAATGTTGTAGAGATAATCTGAATTTCGAAATGCTTCAAATTTTTCTGAAAGTCCAAGTCCGTCGAAGCTGGTGAATTTTCTATTGATCCTCTTGTTGACTCGCCAAGAATAATATCCGGAAATGCTGAATCGTAAGAATTCTCTTGTGCCTTTAAAATCTTACTGTTCTTGTTTGAAGCCAATAGCTTTTTATGTTCCCACGCATCGGTTGAAATAACAATGAAATGAAATTATCATGGGAACAATCAAGGAAGCATACTCGTATGCAATACAATTACAACGAATTTCCTTGTTCTAGCTTTGCTGAATGCAATCATTTCTGAAGTACAGTATTTTCCATATTATTTTCTTCAGATTCAACTCGGTCGGACGAAAGAGGCACGTTCGAAATGGGAATCCTGATGACTCAGGAAAAAGATTCCAGGAATGAAATTTGAATGATAAAATAACTATGTATTTCTTGACCAACTGATTGCTCCCACCAACAGATAATACTGTTCGTATGTTTTTTTCCGAATCGGTAGAAGAAAGAGAATCAGGTGAACTTCAGGGCAATTAGTGGAGCATCATGGTGGGCGTTTGGTTGGTACATTCTTGTCTTAGTTATCAGTGACTCATTGTGATTCGCTCTGGTTCTGGTACTTCGTCGTCAACTATTGTGTGCGGCAAAGCATGTGCATTTTGCTTCGCAGGACGCTTCTGTATACTCTCGCTCTTTCAATGACAGTATTGTAATGCGGGGAATGGAAGTCGATGCTGCCATGAAACACGATCCTTGCCCGGAAAGCAATTTCTCATAAGCTAGGTCACATGAGTAAGACCATCCCAAAATCCATTACCCAGCAACGACTTGTCTTTTTTCAAGGTAGCCCAGTCGTTTTATGAGCAAAAGCTTCGAAAAACCTAGGCTACTCGCTGAGTAACTTGAGAAACGAGCTCGGTATTCTACCCAAATTGGAAGGAAACTTGTGAAAATGCATTCGCGAGGTCGACATCAGATGCTTATCATTTCTGATATATGCTACAAAATTTATCGTTTGAATAATCGGTGGCTAAGAAAGAAGGCGAGAGGGCTCAGAGAACTAGACGAACTTCATTTTATCTTGATTCGAGTTGAGCTTGATAAGGAAGTATATCAAGGTAGTGGCGAAGAGTGAGATGAGAATTTTCTCACGATACATTCCTTGTTTAAAAAAAAAACTGGCGTTAGCTTCAAACAATGCAAAGTCTCACGAAAAGAGGATCGTCATTGATTTATGAAGGTTCCTAACTTCAATGTTTTCCCATGTTGATATTTCCTCTGTCTTTTTTCATGAAGGTTCCTAACTTCAATGTTTTCCCATGTTGATATTTCCTCGCGCAGTCCCGAAGAGAAGCGTTTCTGGAATCATGGAATCTCATTAATTTAGATTGGCTTTCTGTTAGGATCACTGGAACAATTCAGTCTCATCGTAGATACCGTGGGGAAAAATGGTATTACCTGAAGCAAGGGAACAGCTTTGCAGTTAATGCAGAAAAATGGGTCGCGGGTCGAGTTCAGGTGAACTGGAATTGAGCGATTTGGTGCTGAGTGCAGACTGCCTTTGCTATTTCGGAGGACAAGTTATCTCATACCAAAGTACCTTTGCTTTGGCGGTGGTTCCTTTATTTTCTGCTGAGAAGAATACCTGCTACTTCTCTTCCATATCAAAGGAGGGATTCTGTTTGATCTCAACCAATCCTTCTTCTGCTCAATGAGTACTGAAAATATTTTCTTTCCGCTCCATTTGACACCAGAGACGCTTGCTGAAATCAAATTTATAAAAAAATTCACATTCAGTAGATTTTCTTCAGTATCCAAAGTATATTTTTGCAGCCAAAGCGGAAAGAATTTTCGAAATCGACGAAGATCGACCCTGAGGCAAAAGGGTGTTCGATTTTGTTCGATCAGGCGTTTGCCCAGCGGCGGAAGGCACGCAGAGGAGGCCAACCAATATCGGAGGTCGATCCATGAGATTGCCCTTTTAAATTTGCAGTAGAGTAAATTTAAATTTGTTTTCCTTCTGAGAATACCTTCACTTAGATCTCTTTTTTTTCAACAGATAATTTATCCCTGGTTCAACCCAAGTGTCACAGAGTCCCATTGGAAGATTCTACTGAGAGTTCCTTCCCCACACGATTCGCAAAATCCCGCATGATTTTATCCTCACGGTTGGAATATCCGCTGCAGAAATTCGTCCTTTCAGCAAGGATATGTATTTCATTACCTGGAACCGGATATTGAATTTTTTACACTCTCTAAATCCGGGGATCGCCGAGGAAATATCCGCTCTACCGGAAATGAAAGAGCGTCTAGCAGATGTCAAATGTCAAAAAATCTCATCGTCACATTCACGCGCTTCTCTGCGCATACGAAGAGATGTTTGCTGTATGAGACCACCCACTCATAATTATTCACGCGATAAGAGCGATGGAATGCAACAGCAAAGTGGCGTCTAGCATGGAATATACATAATTAATCGCAGCGCGGGGAATTTTCCGCGGAAGCTCATCAGATTTTGTGCCCAAACGACTTCAACGCGTCTATGCGAATATAATTTGATACGGGACGATTGATAGTGGGGGAAGTTATCTCAAGGGATGCATTAGTTTCTTCCCTAAACCAACGGAAACCCCGTTTGGAATAGAATTTTGCGAAGCGATGCAGAAAATTTCATCACATGCAACTACCGTATATGGATTGATAATGGGGATTCCCCCCCTTTTTTTTTTTTGCTCCCTCGGGGTTTCGCTTTAGTCCTTCGTCCAAATTCGCTGGGGACGAATGTCGTCGTAAACTGTACGTGAGATTCGAAAGCCGTGTTGGAGTCGGGAACATGCTGTCGTCGCTGCCAGAAGACCGGATGTTGGACCTTGAGTTCCGCTCTCTGTCGCATTCTGTGGCTCTCGACCGGAAGAAAGGTAAGACTCAAATCGCGGAGTTGACGCCTCGTGTTCTGACGAGGCCCGACGGGCGCCGTAGTTCAATGCCATCATTCCAGACGCCTTGTTGGTGATAGCCACGTCGACGGAGATTTTTTATCGAAGTGGTTTCAAAAATTGCTGGTGTTTTCTTCTTTCTCGATTCCAACAAATCCATTTCTATTTCATTCATTCGGAAAATTCACTAAGGCATTAAATCAATTTTCATTAGCATCAGTTACCGTTGTTCTGTATACGCAAACCTGGAATATCCGAGCTGATGATCGGTGCTTTAAACTATATTGTATAACAATTCGTTTCTTTAATTTACCACGTGTAACATGAACATGATCGAGAGAATTTCATTTCTTTTTTCTCTATAGCAGGGAAATTGAATAAATCTTACGTTATCTTGCATGCTATCCAGTGCTATTAAGATAACGTGTGCCATGGAAAAACTGACCATCATTTTCAGCTACTGCATAGGAAGTCTCAATTTCTTTGAGTTCAAATTAAGTCATGCAGCAGCCATAGGGCTTGAGATATTAATTTTCGGAAGAATAATTTCCAAACTTCGGATACTTACTGGGCACATGTTTCCTGATGCAAGAGGTTATTGCAAACGTTGAATGAAAGACGGACATGCAACAGTGTAAGTAGATATAATCTCTGAAAACTATGGAATTGAAAGCTCATTTATCCTCGCGCATTGATTCACAGGTTTTGATTTTTTTAATTGGTCCGAAATGTACAAGGGCATCAGGTATAGCTCTTTGCGTAATATGTGAATAATCGAATCATGTACCACATTCTCAGCCTTCTGACGTTTTCTACCTAAGTAATCTAGATTCTGTGGGATTTCTGCATAGAATTGAAGTCGATCAAAGATGAAAGGGCATATCTTAGTGTTTTTCTGCTTCATTCAAAGGTTGGGTATGGTTCATCGACTCATGGTTCATCGACTCCCGGATAATAATGCTTATCGTAGGCTCACTGTATTCATTGAGTGATAAAGAAGAAAAACAAATTGTTTCTTCCAGAAACCGTTTCAGGGCAAATTTGAAAATCTTGCGCGGAAATAGAAATGATGAATAGAAAAATTTGCTTCTCAAGGCAAGAATAATTCATTTACCGCATTCCCCTGGAGCAATTCAATATCTAGAAAGAGCTTGAAACACATTGGTAGGCTAGAGAGTGTGCGACAGTTACAAATATAATTTTTTATAAGATTTTCTTTGGAGCGGACAGTTGGAATCGACAGCTATCGAAGTAGATCCTCAACTTGATCTCAGGACAAATTCCTGGCATAGCTGCGCATTTTCTTACCAGTTCTGAGGAAGAGAATTTTATGACGGCCAAATTTCATCAACGGAACGCGTACGATTCTGATCACCGGAAACGACTCATGCAATGCCTCTCTCCAAACAGGAACCAAGAAGATCCTCCACGATATCTATGGCCGGTTCCGCCCTGGGACGCTTTCTGCGATAATTGGACCATCCGGTGCCGGGAAAACAGCTCTTCTGAACGTCCTTGCGGGATACAAGTAAGCACGAGCATCAATTTTTTTCACCCCTCATTTCTTCCGGAACCAACGGGGCACCCAGTGTCGATGCGGGAGTGTTCGTGGCCCGGGTACGAGGAGTTCATTCTTCTTATTTTCACTTGGCAACAGAGCTGAGGTTTGAGAAAAACCCGGGATAAATGGGGTATCGGAGACTGCCGTGATCGATGCGATCCGAGCATTTGACGAAGCCGTATTGAGCTGATATGTTCTCAGCTCGAGGCGTCTTTATTATTTTTTATATTCTGGTGGAAGAGTGTTTTCCTCGGAATTTGCATTCACCATCAACTGAGATTCTCTTGACGGGGTCTATCAAAAAGCTGATCTAGAGAACTCATTCTTTCGAAAACAAACCAACTTTTGAAAAAATTCGACAAAATTTCGGCTGCGAACTTTCCTCTTAAATCCATCGAAACATCATTTCTGGAAAATTCACACAACAATAAGCTAGAGTGCAGCATATATATGGAGTTTGGATGAATTTGCGCGAACACTGCGTGCTGGTGGATTTCCAAAACAGATTTTCGTTGGAAGGATTTCTTCTGTACAAGTAAATTCATGGCATCAACATACGAAGTAGATGGGACAAAAGGAAATAAATTTTCCAACAGCTTCTGAATGATTTGAGCTATCAGATTTTAAACTGTGAATTGAAGCTTATCTAATTCTGAAGAATCGTGCAGCAGTATTCAATTCAACGGCGGTAATCGCATTGGTTTTACCATGTTTCTATGAATAAAACTTTCGGGAAAATGTCAAAGGCGATAGTTAAAAGCTCGGCCCACTTACAGGACGTGGTATAGAATGACTTACGAACAATTTTCTAATTCGCAAAATTCGTCATTCTTAGTGGGACTGCTCGTATTTTAGGGCTGTTTGAGAATTTAAGAAACGCTGAGCATATTTGGACATGGTAGCGGAGAGAAAATAAAAGATTTCGATGGCAACATAAATTATAGCATTCCTCTCGCAGTTCCACTCGCCCTTAAAATTTTGACCAAACTGCATATACCAGATTTCATCCGCAATTTATCAAATTAATTAGTCCAATAAACCCAGTACTGCAGAATTTCCTTTAAAAAATTGCTTTTGAACGATGAGAGTAACTGCGAGAGAAAAGGTAAGTTCTGTGTATGCAACTCTTTTACAATGAAATTATTTCTGCCGTATTTTTCCCCGCTTTCCGAGATACGACTACCAGCAGTAGATGGTCGAGTGATTCGTTTTTCTCTAGAACTTTGGACTAGGGCAGCTTTTCTTCGTAAAATCCATATGCAAAACGGTTGCTCCCTGCCATGTGCTGGATCCAATCTTAGTGGGTGCGGGTGCTGAAGGGTGGTGGCCCGAATACCCGAACATGAGAAATGTTTCACGTGGAAGTGGTCAGGTCAGAGATAAATGGGCTCTATATCAGTAGAAACGTGTCCGGGGAGCCGAACCATTTCCGAGTGCTTCATGTGTCCGCATGTACTGGGATGCTTGAGTGAAGATAGTTCAGCTCTGTAACTGATCGTGTCTCTTCATATTCCGCCAGAACCGCAAACGTCAAGGGAGAAGTTCTCGTGAACGGGAATGTTCGAGATTTAAACACATTCCGCAAGCAGTCGTCGTACATCATGCAAGACGACTATGTTCTCGGGAACTTGACTGTGCTTGAGACGCTGCAATTTGCTGCGGAGCTCAAATGCGGTTCCCGTTCTTCACCCGAGGAGCGAAGGGATCTGGTAAGTTCCAGAAATTTTCAGTCAAATGCTGAGCTCTGTGCTCCTATCCGTGGAAAATTGTTTCTCAAAATGGCTGCTTGGTCCTCAAAAATAGAGATACGCGAAATCCCTGGGCTTGAATCACGCTTAGAAACCATCCAACCGCAGGTATAATAACCTGCCTTAGACCAGTATGAGTGAAGGAAGACAGAAAATATACCCACAAATCTATCCCCAAAAACATAACAAAAAGTTTGAAACCGTCCGAATTGTTGCATTCATTTCCTTTAATGAATAAAAACAAACGCAGGTACAATCGAACCTCTTCAAGTCGAATTTCAAGGGACAAGCAAAAAATTCGAGTTGGAGTGTTTTTGAATTAGGCGGGAAACAGGCATTTTTGTTCAGGGAAAGAGAAGAATTGCAGGAAATTGTTTTTGGTGATAATCTGGGCCTTAAATTGCTCCTTAAATTAAGTGACAGGAAGCCAAACTTGGAGGCAAGGGTTGATTTGACCAATTAGCCTTTCAGTTCCTTCAAAAACACATCGTTACTTTTTATTGCTTTTATCTTTCCTGTGTTGAGAAAACAATAGCAAAAAGGCCTCAGAAAATTCGAGTTCTGGGGTTTGAGAGGAAAAGCCTTTGAGTTAGAGAGGCTTTTGATGCATGATTTTCTAAGGGAATTCAGACAGGGGCTTGAAAAAAATTTGGCTTTGGGAGGTATTTGACTTGGGAGGCTTGCTATATCATGGTTCAACTGTATGTAGGTCAGTTTCCATTAATAATTTTGAATGGCCGGTACAGTATTTTGAAAAGAAAGCTTGTCACAGTTTTCGTCATTCACAAGCGTTCTTGAGTTTTCTCCTCTGCAAAGAATTCCGAGAGAAGCTGGGTTGATATGAAGACTCACTTGGAGTATTTCGCGCTATACTATAAATAATTGAATGTATACCCGGGCCTCCGGTGCTGTTTCCCGCCCCTGACTTATTAAACCAAATCTTGCTGGTTCTACTTGGGCATTTGTCAAGCACCACAGTGGTTACCCAAAAAAGTGCATTTCTCTGGCATATCCGGATATATTTTGCTGTTTGGATCGGAAGGATTACCACGCGTTAAAAAGGAAAAGTTGACGTTGGTATCTTTGTTTTAATAATGTCCATGATGCATATGAAAATATTGTTCACTGTTGAACAGAAAACGGCTTTTTCTTGATACAGAACGTGGTCTAAGCTAGCTCTGCAAATAAATTTATTCCCATGTGGTTTCAAAACGTTTTTTTTTTTTACAGAAAGCCAGAATTTTACCTTGATATTTTTTGCGTAAAACCTGACGCAAAATGCGTTTAAATTCATTCAGGGGATCTGGTTGGGTACCATTTCCAGCATTTTTTTTTTACCTGATATTTTCTATCCGATCTTTATTTGGAATCATGCGGGGAAAAAAGACTTGGTGAATTATCCACGTTATACTCCTTGAAGTAGCATTAAATATGGATTCTTGGGAGTTCTCGCAGATGCACAGGATCTCCAAGAGGAAATCTTGAACAACGTTCATTTCCGCTGCTGGTTCAGATTTCGTTCAGATGGAAAACAGGTGCATCAATTGAAAAAGGAACCCCTTTAACCATCACGAATAAAACCTGAAATCATTGATTGAACAATTTTGTGTTCTCGTGAGAGAAAATTATGTACTTCGAGATTCTATTGGTCATGACTCATGAATTTCAATACCGGAAATCAAAAGCGGAAACTCGGTGTTTTCCTTTTGAATCCAGTCACCTCTGTATCGCTTTGCAAAAAAAAAACAACAAGCATTCATTAAAAATTGATCAACAATGATGTTTGCTTATTTGAAAAATGTCGCCTTTTCTATGGTACGACTTCAGGTTTTTAAAAAGTTAACCTATTTGTTACAGGAAATTTTTATGGCTGAATTAGGACACATACTATTTTTTAGTCATCCAGCCTTTTTTCGAGACGTGCTGAAGATGTCTGAGACCAAAACAGATGAATGATAAACCAATATCTGCGAAAATGTTCATTTATTGAGTGGAAAAATCACGAATTTCGGTTTATTCCCTCCTGTCGAATGATAATGTAAAATTCATCAAGTTCCGTGTGACCAGGCACGGACGTATCATTGACATACAAAAATATGCATTGTAAAAGTGCCACATGTTTTCTTTGACGGATTCAAACAGACTCCTAAGAGAAATGTCGTTGTTTCAACCACCTTTAAATGGTTTGAGAACTGCCACCAGTAGCCAACGCTAATCTTCGGGAATTTCGTCAAAGTATGCCTAAGAATTGTATTTAAAATATATCCATAACTTCGGCTCCAGGCTGGCAAGAACATAGAAAATGCTTCTGGTGATAGCAGAAAGCAGCGTCCGTGTTGAAGTTCTGCGCGACCTTGATGCAAAAACATTTCATCTTATACACGAGATTTCTTAGTCAGAATTAAGAGAATCAAGAAGACCAGAACTTTTTAATTGCCCACTTGAGATCGAATACTTCTTGAGTTGAGCATACAGCAGTACAGGACGATGATATCGCCCCCATTTATATGAGTTCTTCGCATGGCAGAGATAAGCCGACGTGTTTTGTTTAATCCGATGATTTATCAAGGGGTAGCCGAGTAGCTTGCCGCTTACCCCCCAACCCCCGCTGGCAGACACGCTTGAAAAAGAAAGCAACTCTCGGGAATAAGGCCCGGACCTCGCAATTAGACAGACTTCTCCGCAGCTGCCTTTCACCGAGGGGAATATAAAGAAACCCCTGGGATAGAGCGGGTTCCCTTTGCCAAGATTGCCGCTACAGAGGGCGAGAAAATCTGACCCTGCTCCCCTTTTCACTCTCCAAGTGTTCATGTCCTCGGCATTCGGTGACCGNTCCATGATGCATATGAAAATATTGTTCACTGTTGAACAGAAAACGGCTTTTTCTTGATACAGAACGTGGTCTAAGCTAGCTCTGCAAATAAATTTATTCCCATGTGGTTTCAAAACGTTTTTTTTTTGACAGAAAGCCAGAATTTTACCTTGATATTTTTTGCGTAAAACCTGACGCAAAATGCGTTTAAATTCATTCAGGGGATCTGGTTGGGTACCATTTCCAGCATATTTTTTTTTACCTGATATTTTCTATCCGATCTTTATTTGGAATCATGCAGGGAAAAAGACTTGGTGAATTATCCACGTTATACTCCTTGAAGTAGCATTAAATATGGATTCTTGGGAGTTCTCGCAGATGCACAGGATCTCCAAGAGGAAATCTTGAACAGCGTTCATTTCCGCTGCTGGTTCAGATTTCGTTCAGATGGAAAACAGGTGCATCAATTGAAAAAGGAACCCCTTTAACCATCACGAATAAAACCTGAAATCATTGATTTAACAATTTTGTGTTCTCGTGAGAGAAAATTACTTCGAGATTCTATTGGTCATGACTCATGAGTTTCAATACCGGAAATCAAAAGCGGAAATAACTTGGTGTTTTCCTTTTGAATCCAGTCACCTCTCTATCGCTTTGCAAAAAAAAACAACAAGCATTCATTAAAAATTGATCAACAACGATGTTTGCTTATTTGAAAAATGTCGCCTTTTCTATGGTACGACTTCAGGTTTTTAAAAAGTTAGCCTTTTTGTTACAGGAAATTTTTATGGCTGAATTAGGACACATACTATTTTTTAGTCATCCAGCCTTTTTCCGAGACGTGCCGAAGATGTCTGAGACCAAAACAGATAAATGATAAACCAATATCTGCGAAAATGTTCAGTTATTGAGTGGAAAAATCGCGAATTTCGGTTTATTCCCTCCTGTCAAGTGATAATGTAAAATTCATCAAGTTCCGTGTGACCAGGCACGGACGTATCATTGACGTACAAAAATATGCATTGAAAAAACGCCACATGTTTTCTTGGACGGATTCAAAGAGACTCCTAAGAGAATTGTCGTTGTTTCAACCACCTTTAAATGGTTTGAGAACTGCCACCTGTAGGCAACGCTAATCTTCGGGAATTCCGTCAAAGTATGTCTAAGAATTGTATTTAAAATATATCCATAACTTCGGTTCCAGGCTGGCAAGAACTTTGAAAATGCTTCTGGTGATAGCAGTAAGCAGCTTCCGTGTTGAAGTTCTGCGCGACCTTGATGCAAAAACATTTCATCTTTTACACGAGATTTCTTAGTCAGAATCTTCTCTTAGTTCTTCTGGTCTTGAAAAATTAACGGGTGAACTCTAGCTTATGAAGAACTCAACTCGTATGTCGTCATGTCCTGCTACTATAGCGGGGGTAAATATACTCAAGAAGCGTACCGTCTCTTAAGCCGACGTGTTTTGTTTAATCCGATGATTTATCAAGGGGTAGCCGAGTAGCTTGCCGCTTACCCCCCAACCCCCGCTGGCAGACACGCTTGAAAAAGAAAGCAACTCTCGGGAATAAGGCCCGGACCTCGCAATTAGACAGACTTCTCCGCAGCTGCCTTTCACCGAGGGGAATATAAAGAAACCCCTGGGATAGAGCGGGTTCCCTTTGCCAAGATTGCCGCTACAGAGGGCGAGAAAATCTGACCCTGCTCCCCTTTTCACTCTCCAAGTGTTCATGTCCTCGGCATTCGGTGACCGTGGAAAATCGATGGTCTTCTATCGTTGCATTCTCGATCCCCTGGATTTTCCACCACGAATCGCACAAAGGAGAGATGAAATGCTCCTGATGACCAGATGATGCCTAAGAGGGGTATCAATAACTACTACTGCTGTATATACTGTACCCCTAACTACAGTACTATATGTATGAAAACGTGGACATTTTAGGAGTTATGAAAAAATACGTTGAAATGTGCCTCGAAGGAAGGCGAAACGGAGAAAAAAAAAGTGGAAATCATCCCGATATTATTAGGCTAGCAGCTAGTATTCGGCCTCAGGGATAAAAAATTGGGATTTTTTATCATTTTAGAATACCGTAAATATTAGAGTGAATAATTCTGATAATTCAAAAATACTAAATGACAATCTATGAGCATTTTTTCTTAATGTGCTGTTATAGAGCATCCAGGCCTAAAGAAATCATTATAATTTTCCCTTCACGAGAGGAACGATTCGGGCATTATACGTGAATACCAGAATTCTTTGCGCCATTTTCACAAATTTCAACTTCATTTTTCTTGCTTCAAAATAATTATTGTCCCGAAAATGCTGGGAATCGCCTATTTTTTTAAAGGCGTCTGTCCCGATTTACAGTCCAGAGAGGGAAAACAATTTTCCTTTCTCTCTCGTAGAAACTGAAAAGTTGCGATTGTAGGCATCGTACACAATGCCTACAATCATTTCAATATTTTCTTTAAAAGGATTTCAATCTTTTCTTTCCAGATTAACCTTCGACTCAATTTATTTTATAAAATTATCATAAATTCTTCAAGTATCTAAATTATTGCGCTTCTATAGTAGATGAGCGTAACATAGGGTGAACAGTATCTCAATTTGTTTAATCAATATTTCTGGTCATGCGACGGAAAACCAAGTCAATGTTATTTGCTTGCGGACTCCTAGAAGCAGAATCAAATACTGAATTTTCAGGAAACCAGTATGTCACTTGAACAAAACGGATTTACATGAATTTCTGAAATTTAGTCCCATTTGACGAAGTGCCGTCTTTTTTTTTTTTTGCTGCTTTTTTTGGAATCCCAAATTGAAGCTGGGAAAAATCAGATAGCTCCTTCCGGAATTATCCTTGCGGGAACGTGTTCCGAACTTTCAATTTGATGCTGGGCAGTATGAATAACTCGGAAGTTTCTCTGCCACAGTATTTTCAAGATTGATTCCATTCCAGACTGTTGATTCGTAAATATATTAGCACGCCTTCGATACTTCTGGTGAACCACAGTACTTTCCGATCCTGAAATTGTGGAAAAGTTTCTGCTGCATTTCAATTGGCGTGTGCGCGGTCATAAATTTTTCTCAAGACGAAGATTACACGTTTATAAGTGCTGCTTCAGTGCGGAGTACGATGAAAAGCACTTGATCGAAGGTCGAAGGCGAGGTTTTTTTTTTTTACCGTTGAAGTGCGTTTTTTGTACCAATACCCCATGTACTTGCCAGCCGAGGATACAGTCCTGCTTTGAAGGCGCCTATTTGCCGTAAAGTACCTCCCTTTTGTCTACGCTTGGAAGTCTGGGACTCATGCTTTTGTGACATATGTCTGCTCTGGCTATTTGTCTGCAGGTAATGATGTGCCATTGCCTTTCGGGAGGCGGAAGCACGACGAATTTCTACCTCTTGAAGTCAAGGGTTGATTGACTAAAATCCCTTCGACCGTGATGATGGGCATATGATTTCGTTCAAAATATGAATACTGGTAATTGAGATTAAGAATCGGGCGACTGTCGTGAAAATTTAGAATAAAAACGATAAACATCACTGAAAATATATTATGGTTTCATTACCATAAACTTTGTCAACGTTCCAACTGCAAAAAAATCCATCGTATGAATTCCGTTGTAAAATTTTGTTAGAAAAATTTTCATACGTTTATTGAAAATTTCGATGAAGCGAATTTTTAATACCATGAGATAGGCATTTTGTCATTATAACGAGTTTATTGAGTGCGTAGAAGTTCGTCGTAAAGCCATTTTTCTGCTTATTTCATGATTCAATGATTTAAATGGTGCTTACACTCACGAGTACCGTATATGATTATGAATGGACACTTCATAGTTTAATGCGTGTTTATATGTATAATTATGCAATAACTTGGAAGGGATTTAGATAATTTATCGCATCGCTCAAGTTCAGGGCCGAAATTATTGAATTATATAATTATTGAATTATATCAGTTCTGTTCACGAAACCATGAGATGCATGCGGTAATTCTTGTACTTTTCATTTGTCGCCTATTTCTATCCGAAAACGTTATATACGTTATCAGAAATGCATGATTTATTTCTACAGTACAATGGATATGCATCCAGGAAACAGCAGATAAATAATGCCGTATACAGATGTAGGTACAATCAACGCGAAGGAAATGCTCATGGGTTTATGCCATAATAGAAAATCCTCCCTATACCAGAAAAATTCGCTGCGTGGAGAGGCATTTAGAGAGGAATCGTGATAAAGAGAAAGAGTACTTTTATTTTATTGAGTTGGAGCACTACTGCGTGTTGGCGTCGAGCGGCTTTCGCACATTCTAAAAAAAAAATTTCCTTGAGCTGCTTTGAATTGAATTTCCGTGAGCCTTGTCGACCTATTCACGTCAACAAATAAAACGTTTCCAAGTAAATTTTATCTTCAATTCCTGGAGCAAGTGCGTTAAAGCAACGAAAATGGACCCTTTCTATGGTCGTCACTTCCTTTTCCCCCGCTTGTCGTCAGCGAGGAAATGTGTCGCTGAGTGACTCGGAGCAAATTTTCATTTCGGGAAGAGGGGTAAAAATAAATTGACTGTTCGCCGTTTCGCGTCAGCCATCCGCATCTGTGTAGAAGCGTACTGTCGCATTTTATTTTCTCTCTCGCTAGTACCCAATATCGTCTTTTCCTGGAATTCTCAACTTACCACCCCAACGCCAAAGCAGTAATGCTGTTCCTCGACAGAGCAATACTTGTACAGCACATTCATTGATGAGAGCAAAATTGAAGGACGCTTTATTTTTTCTAGCAAAAGAAGGTGGTCAGATGCATTTGACTGAGAGATTGATTTTTAGCATTACTGGGACAGTTTCTGGGCGCTTCGATTACACAAGAGAAAGTCAAAAACTAAAAATAAAAAATAGCGGATCTTCTTCGAAACCGTTTCAAAGATGCGAAGCTTAAAATTACATTGGGTCCGAAATGATTTTTTAAAATACCATGCCCAAAATGTTTGTGAAAAAATTCAACGCGTGCTGGTTAACGTTCGGTTGGTCGAAATGAAAGCTGTTCTGAATAAATACGCAGGACGAATGTATATAAATTGAAGGGATATATAATAACATTGCGATCAAGCCAGTACAATTCTCACTATTTTATTCATACCTATTTATTTACATCCGTGCTATTCTACGTTTGCATCATTTTCCAAATATGCGAGGCTTTCCTTGAACTTTTTGCTTTCTGGGACATAAATAAGCGGCGATGTTTTGAGGAGCACCATTTTCGGAGCTGTTAGCTGATCCTGTGAAGATTTTCAAAATATTTTAATGCCCCAAGGACGTTTTCGATGAAGTACAAGTTCGAATTTTATTCTGCCCGCTTTCGAGAAGATACGGATTCCGTTTTACTTATTGCAGGGTACCATTCAAAACCTGCAAATCTAACACAAATGAAGGACACGATAGTTTTCCATTTGATGATACTCGTGCAACGAACTGGTACACATTTCATTCAACGTCTATATTCGTTCCCTTCCATAGTTCTAATTTGTTCTTCAACTGACGTTCCATCCGTTAAAAAGCCTATGCGTAAATTTGTAATGGTTCCTTTGCCTCCTAAGAGAGTTCATCGCGTACGACTGATGGAAAAGCTCTTCCTCGGTATAGAATGCCCCTCGATAGTGGGCCGGGACGATGAACGTGGAAGCCCGCTGCATTCCTGGGTATCTCCGGGCATTCGAGAGTTATTCGGAACTTGTAGGAGCCGAATATTGACCCGTGAATTCCGAAATTTCCGAAGGAACTGAGCTCATCTTTGAACAGAGAGGTGCTCAGCTGGGTCTCTGAAGCGCCTCTGATCTGTCATGCTTCTTCTCGACAAGAGAATAATCGATTGCCTTTATCACCGGACCCGGATAATCCCCAGGATTGAAGGACAGCAAACACGGCTTTCGTTATATTACCACTAGAGCATCCCATCAGGCTCCTTGGTATTATTCATGAAATCCGGGCCTGGGCGGCTTTCGTCGCAACCGTACAATGCAGGGAAACTCATCAGTGTCGCTATCCCGCTTTGACGACCGCGGCGAGGACGGTCGCAGGGTGACAATTTCCTACCTCAGTCGCGCATCCCTTCGCCGCATTCCATTACCCTGCCCTCCGGATGTTCCCCACGCATTGCCAAGGTCCTACACTGAATGAAACCACCCCCGGACTCCTATAAAAGTGCCTTATTTTCCTTAAAACGTCGAGGATATCTAAAATCCCGTGACGCATCAAGCCAGCACACACCTCCGAATGTTTCCCCCACATTTTTCCAGGTGCTATACGGAATGAAAAACCCCTGTCGCACTTAATTAAGCATTTTAGGGATTTCACAAAAGCCCTGCCGAAAATTCAGAAATATTGATTGCACGTGGTTCAAATTGTGGCAGATTTTACATGCTGTATCCTCCATTTTGATGAAAGATGCAACAGATTATGAACACATGAAGTTGAGATGAAATCAGGGCTTTATTCAAGGAAAATGCAGGTATATGGAACATCGGGAATGTCTTCTCATGTAACTCTCATTCCTCACTTTTTATGCAGAAAAGATTTTTCGATTAAGAATGTACATAAAAAAAAGACTTTGCTTCAGCAGCTGATCATGAAGTTCTCTGATGTGTTCAACAGCTTCATTAACAGCGAGAAAATGTGTCACCGGAATTTTCATCCATTGGTACCGTTCATTAAGGAAATAACAGCCTACAGTCGCAAGATTCGATTGTAATTCGAGTAAGTTTTAAAGTTTTGGTTGCGACTGAGAAAACCCCAGAAATTGGAAGTACAGTAAATGAGAGTTCACGGGTACTTTCTTGCAGAAAATCTCCAGGGCGATCTGCAGATTATTCTCCCTGCTTCTCCGTCTTGCGCTAAATGGAATCCTTTTGTCATAAGAGAACAATGATTAGATGGAAAGGGGTATTTATGTTTCGTTCAACTGAAAGGACGATTTGTCCATGATTCGCAGGACGTTTCAACACACTTCACACGCTCGGTTACATTATCGCGATGTGCCCACAAGAGCACGGCTTTCATTTTTCCATCTTCCAACCGAATATCAGAAGAAATTTTCAATCGCGGGGAAACCTTCGAAGTTTCGAGTCACTCCGTCCAATAAGACAACCGCACGCACAGAACAAAATCCAGATGTTGCCAACAGATCACTACACAATGCCCAATCTACAGTAGACTCCATATTGGAAAAAGTCTGAGATCTAGTGCGATAATCGATACTCAAGGATGATTACCAACTGCCTGTCAAACCGACGCCGTGCAATAAGTTTGCACTATCGAGTTCATCCGGCCAAAGAGAAGAGCGCCAGGCTTGTCATGATCAAAGCAGGAAGCTTTCGAAGTTACTAGTAGAGTAAAATTACAAAAGAAAATATCGAATCTGTCGACATCCGCCATCAGGAAATTCCAAGACCGGAGGAAAAAGCTGCATGCAGCTTCATGAACAACGACGCTTAGAGATGCGTGAACAGATTTCATGCTAGAAGAGCAGGGATTTGAAAGTGCAGAAGAGCGATTCACGAGAATCAAAACTTTTGTTTTACGCCGCCCAAAGAATTTGTTTAAAGTTTCTAGGCGACTCCGCGGATAGTCCAGGGGAATGTAATTTAAATACATTCGAACAACAATAACCAATACTTCCAATTTCTGAAAAAAAAAGTTCAAAAGTTCCACTGACGATGAAAGATCAGAAATTATATCTCTTGTAGCCAAAACTAATACCGTACAGTACCACGAAACATAATTAATCAGGCAATACGAGCTCTTACATAAGACGCAAAATTCAATTTATGTAAGGAATTATAGAAAAAAATTTTCTCAACCCGAATTCACGCTCGCTCACTTTTCCCAAAATTTATTATTATTATTGTATTGTATTCATGATATACTTGTGCACGGGGTATAGAGACCTGAAAGGCTCGGGAGTAGAGAACTAGTTATTCTTCTCATGTCCTCGCTCATTAGCAAGGAAGAAAGATGATCACACAGGCAACAAGCAGGCACAGTTCTGCGTCAGGTTCATTATTCTGAGTTAGAATCAGTTTCACGTGAACTGTAGCAGTGGTGCCCGACTCAGAAGTGGCCCGGGCCACATGGAAACACTAGAGCATATGCGGGCCACAATGACGAAAAATGCCGCAATAAACACTATGAATTACGTACTTAGTACATTTACAAGATGGTTGGAAACATTATATATGGCTTAAATGAAGTTCAAGGAATTCAGGGCTTTCCATGAACAGCTTTTTTTCATCCACGAATTCTTATTGCATTTTTACTGCTGTAATTCAACTTGTGTCGGCATTTTGCACAACTGAATCTTTGTTTATAGGATTTTAGAAATTAATCCGCATAATTTTTCAGGAAAAAGATTCAACCGAAGTCCAAACAAAACAGACAATTTTGAGGAATTTAAATGCTACCAATATTTTTGATATTTTTCTACACAGCAATGTGGAATGTTTCATCAAAAATTAAAAAGGGTCAATACACAGATAAGCATTAATTCAACCTCCAAATACGGTTCATAAAATGTTCATGACCTTTCTGGGATAATCAATACCATGATTTTTGCCTGACATCAAGTTCAAGTAATGGAGGATTTTGCATAAAGTTTTTGTTACTTGCAGAACTAGTTAAACTCGCATTTGCATTTTTGCATGATGGTATACGTTTGTTCATGCCAATTTAAAAGTTAAGCTACTCTTGAAGTACTTTTCCTGGGTTTCCTCTATCAAGGGATGCAATTACAGTAAATTAAAAACACCACAGACAATGCTGGCTTGACTCGATTGAGATTTAAATTCCAAGATAACAAGATTCCAACGTTTACTATGAAAAGCAGAACCACTGAAATCACATAAAACTGCATATTGTTCTACTGGTCTTTCCTGTCAGAAGTAAACATCACAATATTTCCCGATAAGCCCTAATAAAATCCCCCATAAAAATTTCTGACTGAAGATGTGTTGAAAGTCATGAAATTTTCATGTTTGGGGATTTTAATTTTCGGTGTCGATTTTCCATGCTGCGGCTGTGCCCTCTGCGGACCAATTGAAAAGACACAATTGAAAAGACGTGCCGGATCTGGCCTTCGGGTCACATCTTGGGCACCCCTGAACTATATCGTTTACTCATTCGAACGAGAATTTTTATTAAATGAAAATTTCTTCGTTATGTTCCTTCATGCTGGGTACAGTCGACATTCAAGTAATTCTCGAGGCGTTATAAACAGATTCATTCATTTCCATTGATATCCTGGTAAACTTCAAATCACCACTACACGAAAAAAAACTGAATTTCAGCATCTTCTCGAGAAGGATGAAGAATTAAAAAAATCCAAATGTACAGTGGGAATCAATATCATATGCCATTCGACTATGAAATAAGCAGAGCTGTCAGAATAATTCAATAGCTATTTGCGTTAACATAGCTTAGGTTAGACCAATGACCTCAGTAAGGTTCGGTCATTTTTCAAGTTTTGATAGGACGTTTACCTGACATTACGAAGTTTTGGTGAATGATAACGTTTTTAAGTCCCTGTGGATGGCGAGACAATTTCACACGAAAATTTGCATCCATTCCTAGCAGTACTGAGGAAACTACCACAATGTTTGCCATCACAATCTCAAAGTTTCTCTGTAGCAGTTATGTTTGGAAGTAGAATCTGCAGATGTGCTGATTTCAATAAAGTTTTCTCCCTTGCTTATCACAACTCTCTACTTTCCTTGCAGCGTAGTGGAGGATGACTTGTTTTGAAGCAAATTAGTGACTCACTTTTTTTCTGATGATGAATTATCCGACTTTCGTTCCTTCTGATCAGGTAGCAAGGTTTTATGTGTGCACAACGCGTCACAGGCGCAGAAGAAAATTAACCGAATTGTGTCTCGCCAAGGAAATTCATTATAAAGATTGATTCCCAGCATGGACATAAAGGCTGATGTTTTGGTTCAGAGCATTGCAATTTCGAACCACAAGACCTTCCAAACTCAGCAGACGGTTTTCCTGCCTGCAAATTTGTTCTACTGGAAAAGCTTCCGCACAGATGAGGGCAATTTTTTCCTCCATCTAATTTGTGGACCACCGGGCAAAAATGCGTAGCTTGACAAAATTCAAGCTTCACTAAGAAAGCGGCAGAAACAGCTTCCCTTGAATGCATTGAATCTGCGAATGTATAGGATAAAGTGCTGGAAGAGAAGAAAAAGACAAAGACAAAATTTCCAAGTACAGTTGAACCTCGGTAACTGGAAACTCCATGAGTAAAACAAGTCCCTGTCTGAAATGCCCCTAGAAACATTGCAATAAAACCCTCCCTAGCTTGGAGGCTTGCTCTCTCCAACCTCAATAAGTCGAATTTCCTGGAGGCCTTCTGGCCATTATTCTATCGAGGCAGGACAGAGAAAATCAATAAAACCGTTACGGTGGGTTTTGAAAGGAAGTGGAAGACTAACTAGGCAAATGAACCCTTGCCTTCAAGTTTGGCTTCCTGTCAATTAATTTAAGAAGCAATTTAAGGCCCAGAATATTATTATTTACAATTTCCTGTGATTCTTCTTTCTTTCCCCCTGACAAAAATTATTTCTTCCCCTACTTGAAACCTCCTTAACTCGAAACCTTTTTAACCGGAAACCTCCCTGTACCTCGAATTTTTCGGCTGGTCCTTTGAAATTCGTCTAGAAAAGGTTCGACAGTATATCGCTTAGAGTCTAGAACATTCTTGTGGTACATTGTTGCACTTTTTCCGCGCTTCATTAAATCATCAATGCAATTTCGTCGAATTTTATTTTCATCATCCGAAAGAATCTGTAGCTCACGTTACTTTTTTTCTGTCCGCTCGAAGTTCATTGTACCGCTCGCGGAGGTTCAAAGACTTCTTTCTTCTGTGCAGGTAATCGACGTAATCGATACTCTGAGCATGTCGACGTGCTCGAATACACGGGCGAGCTCATTGTCTGGAGGAGAACGGAAGCGACTCTGCATCGCCGTAGAGCTGATCAACAACCCGCCGATCCTCTTCTTCGACGAACCGACGAGGTGAGAATCCTCGCAGTCCATAAATCCTTCGAGTCCTTGTCTTCCGGGTTATCGTCAATAACGATCCTTTTTCCGGTGATGCCCTGCGCCACGATTATTGAGACGTAGCCGGGGGTTTCCCGCAGCGTGGGCTCTAATAAACGAACGTGAACCTGAAAACCGAACCCCTGTGAGGGATGGACCATGAATTGCGATGCTCGACAAGCATAGAAGGGGTTCCAAGTTAGGGACACAAGCATTTTTGTTTGGGGGGGGGGGGGGAAGAAAGAAGAATTTCAGGAAAATTTAATGGACGACTCTGGGCCTTGAATTGTTTCTTGAATGGTTTGAAAAGATGCCGAACTTGGATGCAAGGGTTCATTTGCACAATTAGTTCTTAATTCACTCCTTTCGTAGATGTTGTATTGCGCCGCATCCATCTACACTACAGTACACAGAAATGATCAACGACTGGATCACCCAGCTCTAGTTTGAATTCTTCACTTGTACAGAACTCGGGCAAATCTAATCCTAACTAAGAGTTGTGCTGTGACGTCGAGACAATAAACTCACGTGTCTGAGTTCGAAATTTGCCTTTATATTACCCCCCGAAAACTCTTATTGGGTAGAATTATTGGGTTTAGACTTCTTCAGGTTCTCCTGATCACCTAGTGCGTTAAACCGTGCATGGAAAGATCTTTAGCGAAGTACATGTGGTACATGATCGAGTTTCTGCACTTACCAGGAGACTCTTATGTCTCCTGTTACATGGTTGCGATTCGGAAAAGCTGATCAAGTTCTGCTGCCTTACGTATTTGAAGAGGGTAGGAATCAGAACATTCACCAGTGAAAATAGAGCTGCATGGCAATTTCCATAGAAAATGAACCAAACTTTCTCGGGAGCTGATTCGATTTTCCCGAGTTTTCATGCCCCTACTGCGATCTATTGAAGGTTTCCTTCGCGCTGTAACTTTTCTCCTCTGAAAATATCTCCCGTTTCCCGCGCCGAGTTTCCTTGTCACGAAAGCGAGGCTCTCCGTCGACGCGTGGAATTCTTGAGGAGCTGACGTTGAAAGTACTTGATGATTTTTTCTCTCCTGAATTTTGCAGTGGTTTGGACAGCCAGACTTGCTTCCAGTTGCTTTCCTTGCTCTCGGCACTTGCAGCAGCGGGCAGGACCGTGATTTGCACCATTCATCAACCGTCTATGAAAATTTTGGAATTGTTCCAGCACCTGGTTGTGCTGGCAGATGGAAGATGCATTTACCGAGGCGGGGTTCCACAGCTGATCTCCTACATGGCTCAAAAAGGCCTCTGTTGTCCCCCTTATCACAATCCAGCGGATTTCAGTAAGATCTTCACGAACAGCTTCACCGAGCTTTTTTTTTTGTGCGTCCACTGCATTTCTCTCCAAAGCGCAAATCGTTCAACACAATACACATGCAAAATAAAACGGAATGAGTCACCACGTAGGCGAGAAAATATTTCCCCGGGACTCGTTGGAAAGCCTACTGAGCCTATCGCATTTCAAATGACTTTTCCGAACGCAATTTTCTTCAATTCCTAATTTTAAAAAGATTAAATTCAAAAGATGGAGATTACTGAAAAAATCGAAAATATAGATCAATGAAGTCTAATCAAGTACAGGTCTTTCCTCTTTACAAAGAACAGTCTCGTGATATGACGTATTACAGTGAAATTTGAAGCTAACGTGGCTTTTCAATTTTTCCGGGATTGTACTGATTCCGAGGCATAGCAACGAATTCAAAATGCATTTTACCGGAAGTTTCTTTTAAAGTTTATTAACGTGGTTTTTTATGTTTTAAGCATCTCCAATTTCTCTTGCGACCTAGACGACTGTCAACTTTCTAAACATCTTCCAGGAAAACAAATTTTCTCTAAACAAAATCTTCATCCTCCTCCTGTTCCCAAATCCAATTCTCAACGGCTTCAGGCAGGTGCTGATCTGCTGAAATACTGCACAACGACAATAGTTCGTGGAATACCGACTGAAAAGATTTTTTTTTTTAGAAACTTTGATGGATACTGCGCTTGCAGATGGACTTTCCTCGACTCAGAATGAGTGAACGCTTCGATTTTTCTAAAATGTTCCGTAGTTATGGAGACTCTTCTGGGTGCGGACAAAGGACTCTTGGATCGGCTCGTCATGGGTGTGAACAACGGCAAGTCAGAGGAATGGGACAGCGTTTTGGTTCAAGGGGCTCAGACACCGAGTTTTACGGCTAATCAGAAAAGCCAGAGCGCGTACAAAATTTCTTTCGAGGAAAAGACACAAGACACTCCGCAAGGTAAAGCAATTCCCTGACGCTGTCACAGGCAGCGAATCCCCTGCCGTCGGCATCAAAGCGCGAAGATGTCGGTAACGGGATTCTTTTTGTCGCGAACACATTCTGGTTCACTGTCACCCGGGGTAGCAGCAATAAGGGGCTTTTTTGATTATCAGCAGAAGATGCTGATGGCCATCTGACACATTTCATGATTGCTTCAGAACCCTCGGATGAGAATGCGCTTCAGGAAAGAGTAATGTTTCTGGTGCTTAACCGTCATATGAGGAGGAAAAGCTTCACGCGTGTGTCCTACAAGCTGCCCACGTGGCACAAGAAAAAAAGTGGAATCCTCAGAAAGAAAGAAAAAACAACTTCCCCTAATGGTTCCCTTCGTGACCTCGAACTTGTGATACAGACACGTGGGCCTTCTCTGCAAATCTCCAGAGAGAAAGAGAGAGGCAAGGGCAGAGGTAGAATCTGTTTACTGGAAGAGAGCACTTTTCCCTCGCAATTTTTTTAAATGTTCTTCATTGATTGATTTATAATAGCTTTGTGATTCTACAAGAGTTGCGTGACGGTTTGGTTTGGAGTTTTTTTCAGGGTTCTGAAATGAATTTCCCAAATGACGCATTCAATCCAGAAAATTGCTCTGCTGGACAGAATTTTTTCATCCGCCTTTCTTCCCCACAGCGACATTTTCTGAGAAGCAACATGTTTCCGTGACCTTTCCTCCCCTCACGAGGGCGCATTTCAGCGAATTAGTTTTCGTGATTCGCAAAAACGTTCTCTGGGAAAATATTCCTTGATTCTTGGCTTCAACCTCACGTGGATTTTTCATTCCCTAGAGACCCGCAGAATCAATCGACTAACAGCGGAAGTTATAATAAAAACAGTTCTCTGTGTAGGCAATTCAGCGCAAGCCCAGAAAATTGTCTCTCCTCAATGCTTAATACTCTCATTCGAAGAAAAAAAATTAGATATTTTTTGTCGATTGATGATGAACGTTTCCCGCAACAGAGAAAGGCACTTCAACAATTTACGCATTAGAAGTGCTACCTGAATAATGAGAATTGTGCATCGCCTTCGTCGTATCATTTTGTGGAATATTAGGATATATCCCTTGTCGAGGCTGACGAAGAGTTTGTTTTATGGTCCTTCTAGTAACTACAGTCCTTAAGCATATTAATATACGCGTCTTAATGATTATGGATGTACTGAAAGTGCAGCAAAGAATCAATCTAAGCTTTCTTCGGGGGAGATCCATTTGACTTTTTAGGGTTCCATGAAGCTCTGAAATAGGTTACCAAACAAAGTTTCCACGGAAATGAACAGTTTTTTCTGTCCAATTAAAGTCAATATGCATTGAAACTTGCTGCTCAGATATCTGATTAATGATGCCAGAAATGGAGTACGCTTTGTTGGTTGAATGAAAGCTCTTTTCGAAAGGGCGTGTCGAGTTGCGTGGAAAAAGGAACGTTTTGTGCTTATCGTTCGGAGATGAAAGTTGTCATACTGGTGGAAAGCAATTGCCAGAGCGACAGGAAAATGAGTTCTGCTCGTCAACAGATAAAAAGTACACTTTGCATGGAGAACACGACAGGAAATTGATTAGACGTAAAAGAAAAATGAAAAACAGTTTTCCTCGTCAAAGCCCGTGCATGCGAACGAGTCATTTGCTTTCAAAAAGTCTCTCTGCTGATAGAATATCACCTAGCAGCGGAGTGTCAATTCTAGCGACTAAACCACACTTCATTCGTCGTAATTCATCTTAATGAGGAGTAAAGGCTTGTATTATAAAAACATGGTTTAGAATACTGATAAATCCGCCTTAACGTTCTAATTAATCAAAAAACAAGATTATTGTGGGAATTGTAAAACAGAATAATGTGAAGGAGTCCAGTGTGTAAGGTTTTACAAGTAAAATCAGATTAATCAAGCCTTACACCTTGATTGCAATTTTTAGCAGAGTTTCAAAGTTCAAGGATTTTGAATTATAGCAGAATAAATCAAACACGGCAATTGGCTGGGCGCGAACCGACTGGGATTTCTCCCTACTAGCGCAGACCTTTCTTTTCCAGTAAAAAAGCAGTACAAGAGAAATTATACACAACAAGGTAACAATACAAAAGGGTTTCACACACACAAACACAGTTTTCAATTCTCAAATATTCAGTACACAGATCGTTTGATATGAGGGCTCCAAAGGTGGAGAAAATTGAAGTTCACAGGATAAGAATTTTGTACACGTATTTGCTCTTAAGACTGTTAGAGTTTTCAAATGCAGAAACTTGATTCTTCTTCTTCTTAAATACGAAGTGAGATGCAGAAAGACGTTCACAATCAAAGTTTTATCAAAGAAAACGTTTTACAGAGCAGAAAAGTATTCCAGATCTGGAATTTTCTAATGCAGTACACTCAACACAAAATAAATATTGACTTCTGCAAAGTCCACAGGGTTTCCGAATTCTGTAAAGTCCGAAATATTCCCGAATTTTGCAAAGTCCGAAAGGTTCCTGAATTTCGCAAAGTCCAAAAGGTTCCCAAATTTCGTAAAGTCCAAGAGGTTTAAAAGTTTTCAATAAGTCCGAAAATTCTGAATTTGCGTCCACAAAAATCACTTGTTGACTCTCAGGATTCGACTGTGTTTCTTGCGCAAAATTCAGGGGTTTTTATGTGAATTTGCGCCAGTTTTGGCGGGTCTTTCTTGGTTACATCTTTTGAAAACACCAGGTGGTGGCGTCTGTTGTCAATGTTTTTTGCAACTCGAGTTTTACTGCTCCTTTTCAGGGTTTAGTGCATGTTTTTCCCGAATCGTTGTAAATGGTTTTCCCGTCACTGGGTGTCTTTAGTTGTGTAGAGTGTCAAGATTTTTTGGCAGAAAAATAATATCCAGAAGGGGGATTGACTTTCACAAGATTTTGACAGTGCAACATCGTTTTGCTTTAGAAGATGAATCGTTTCTTAAGAAATACGAACTGATTTAGGGTGCGTTCTGCCGACAGCTGGCCAATTTTTTCGCAATTCTCAAGGGGTCGAATGACCCCTGGGTTCTGAGAAGAGTGTATGTCCTCTTGTGGAAGAGGGGGGTGCTTCTTTCGGCAATTGTTTTGTCCCAATTTTGGGAGTCCTTTTCTTTTCTTTGGCAAGTTGGTTTCGCCAATTTGTCTTAATTTTAGCAGTCACCCCAGTTGTAGGGGATTTTCTTCCTTATCTCTTGTTTGTTTTGGTGCATCTCGGGATGCGCCGATTAAATTACATTTTCGGCTTCTTTCTGGCGCCCCTTTTTATTTTTAAGCATCCCTTGTCTGGGGATTTTTCGGTTTTCTTTTGTCTTGAATAGTTTTTCTGCGCATTCAAAAATGCGCGGATTAAATTACGAGTCGGCGAGTTTCTTTTGGACTTCAATTCTCAAAGGGAGTCATCAAAAATTTCGTACACAGTGAATCATTCTAAGGTTAAAGGTGAGCATTATTTATCATTGAATGGATCCGAATAACGAAGTATAGTATTTGATGGTTTCTCTGGAAATTTTCCATTCATGTTTTAAACTTTTGGAGATGAGCTACCCATGCCGAGAAATCTACAAAATTATCAGAGAATTGTTGCTATATTATATCAACGAAAATAATTTTAGAGAATATCCTCTCCCCAATATCGAATATTTTTAGATATCACGTAGTAAATTATTGCATAATGAAAGCCGTGCTCGATTTTTCTGTCCGCTTATTCGTTTAATCCACAAATCCGAAAACTTCCAAACGCCGTTCATATCAGCGACAGAGAACTCACGCGTCTCACATTGCAAGTTCTTAAAGTTTTCGTCCGTGGTCTTTTTGTTTTGTTTGGAAGTCGTCTTTTCAATTTACTAATTACACTTTCAAAGAGAACTCTCGCATTCAGACGAACTGAAATTTAACACAAATCGCTCACAAGTTACATAGACGTCTTTGTCCTAGCTCTTTCCGCCGCACTCTGAGATGCACAAATGCGCCATTCTGGGCTTTAAACACACGCACACCAACTTGGGTTCCTCAAACCTTCAAAAACCGGACAATGAGGCACTGTCATTATTCGAATAGGAATGCTTTATGAAAGAGTTATGGCATGCTTCTGACGTAACTATCAGGATTAGTTTTCGATGATAAGATTTTTTATGCTGATTAAATGTCCCACTTCATGAATATTCCATTTATCCGTGGGTGCGAAACTTTAAATGCCCCGAAGGAATCTCGATTCTGAATGCGTCGATTTCCATCACCAAGAGAATCCCAAGTGTTTATTTCGTCTCTTTCAACATCGAGTTCTCCGGAGTCATTGACCTGTAAATTTTTTTTTCATAAAAAATCGAGTTTCAAATTCAGTGGATGAACATATCTGACCTGTTTCCAGGGGAGGATGTGTCGTGGCAGCTCGACAGGGAGAAGGATGAATTTCAGCCTGGGTCCGGGTCGTATTTCAAGCAGCTTCGGATTTTGTCCAGAAGAGCGTTCCTGCTCATCATTCGTGACAAAGTTCGTGTTTCAATGAATAACCGACACTCCAGCAACATGTCAACAATTCTTCGAGGCTTATTTAATTTCTTTCTTGATCGCCAATATTTTCAGATTCTTCTGTGGACGCGTCTCGGGGCTCATGTGTTCATCGGGATTGTCCTCGGGTTGATGTTTCAAGGCATCGGGAACAACGCAGAACGAGCTTACAACAATGCCGCGTGTTTGTACTTCAACCACGTCGTGCTAATTTTTGCAGCCATGATGGCGACCGTATTGACGAGTGAGGCTCCCGATTGACACTCCATTTTCCGCTGCTTATCATCTAACCGTATTTTTTTTCGATGCTCTAGTTCCGATGGAACTGCCCGTTATCGTTAGGGAGCACATGAATTGCTGGTACTCGGTGAAGATGTATTTCTTGACGCAGACTCTCATCGACGTTCCTTTTCAGGTAAGGCTGTCGTTGACGTGGAAAGCAGGTCTTTCCATGACAAGTCGCGAATTCGCGATGCACTTACCATGTTAAGTTAAGCGAGCCACGAGTAACCTTTGAAAATGCACAGACGTTTCCTCGTGTGACTGTTTCGGACAACACGAGACAATTATTCCCAGACATTCTGTTCCAGAATTATGGAGGATCTGCTGGTGAAAGAATATAAAGCTCCAAATTTTTTCCGTGCAGGTTTTCTTCACGATCATCTACCAATGCATCACCTATTTTCTGACGGGACAACCGCCTGTGTTCGAGAGTTTCGCTCTGGTTTCACTTCTTGCCATCGTTCTCAGCATTGCCGCTCAAAGTGTTGGAGTTGCAGTTGGAGCATCAATTGATCCTCAGGTACATTTTCACTGTTAGGGTTAATTGCTTCATTATAGGTTTTGTCAAAGTTGTATTCCATTTGCCTTAGTCTCGTTTGATAAATGGAAATACAACGCTGTAATGTACTGTACTGTAGATGTCATTTTCAGAAGCGTCAATTGCTTTCTGATCTATTTTCCAATTTTTGGTCACCCAAGTTAATATGATCGAAAGAATAAATTGGAAGTGGGCCGAATAACTCAGGAAATGAGGTTTTATGTCGAATTTGGCTTTTTTGAATTTGCGCTCATATTGAGTTTTACCTAATTCCGAAAATAAGTTTGAACTAATAAACTTTTCTCAGACAATTCTAATAACCACATTCTAGAAAAAAGGTATTCGAATGGTTGGCATTTTCTTGGGTGTTACTGACTCATTTTGTAGATTGCTCACGCAAGGAAAAAATGAGAGATAAAAAAAGTTTCCCAAGTCAGGGCTAAAATTGAGAAAATTGTTAGCCAATGAATAAAAGTTGCTTCTAACTCAAAGGTGACTCGGGGGATTCTGAGTCATAAACGTTGGTCCCAAAAGAACGCAATTTCCGGGCATTGACAAATTTTCTGAACTATTTTACGTTCGCTTGATTTATTGAGTATACGGATATCATATTTAGTTCCGATTGCTTTTCGTAGTATTCATGAATAAGGTAATACATTTATCTTTGGGGGAAAAGTCTGATTGACGATCTCGTTCTCTTCTTCAGACGGCGGTGTTTATCGGACCTATACTGACAGTGCCCATGCTGCTCTTCTGCGGGTTTCTGATTTCCATTAAGAACATGCCGACTTACATGCAGTGGATCCCGTACATCACTTACTTGAAATATGCGTACGAAGGAACGATGGCCATTATTTACCAGAAGGGTCGTGGCGACCTGGACTGTGAACAACCTTATTGTCACTTTAAAAGTCCAGAGGTTTTCATGGAAGAACTGGATCTAACAGAAGCTGTGTATTGGCCAAATCTTGCTATTCTCACTTTGTTTGCGGTCGTCATTCGAATAATTGCATTCTTTGCAGTTCAGCACAGAATTCGAACTTCTCGCTGAATATGAGAGCATCGGCGAATTTTCGTGCGCTGAAATTACGTTTTAACTATCTGGAAGGCATTTAAAATTAATTTGTGTCAGTTTTATCCAGCGTGATAAGTGAAGGTGAATGGAGATGTCCTTTGAATGTGCCGTGTAAGTTTCTCCTGGTGTTGGCGTAGTGTATCCCGTTTTGTATAGGCATCCCAGTGAACTACATTGGAACTCATGAGTGTCTACTCCAGAAAATTGCTATGGTTTTATGCCACGTCGAAAGAATGAAAATCGTGGATTCTCCTTGTCGGGGTCTTCTGCTAATGCCAGTTTTGCTCAGAGAAAATGTTTCGGAAACTTACGGAAAAACAGTCGCAAACTTTGGTTCAATTTGACTTCGGTTGCTTCGTCGTCGAAGACGCTTGTAACAGAACAAAAAAAGCACCCGGTTGGTGTTGGTGTTGAACTTTTTTTTTTCCTCGATGGGAGATAGATGTAGGATTGTAATTCGCAGGTTGTTGAATATAGATCGATGCACGGTGACAAAGAATTGCTTTGCTTCCTCGTAAGAGCTTTTGCGTGTGTTCTGTTATTGTACATAAGAAACGGTTGGACAAATGCATGCGCAGTTTCAAACTGAAATTCGTGTCAAATTTTTCTACAGCGTAATACGATAAGGCCACCTTGCTTCCTATCCGCATAAGAACTTCAGCTCAAGATCTCTTTGAAAAACACAGCAAAAGACTTAGACCTCCTTCAATAATTAAATCAGGGATATGAGTCGGTGCTGCATGGTACACGAACCCTTGTCAGATCGTAAACGAAATTTTCCAGCACAGAAATGGGGTTCTCTGCATATAATTGTGAGTTCCTAATCGCAAAGTTTGAAATTGACTTGTCCAACGGACTCAGCAGAAACTTAAATAAATGGAAATCTGAATTTTAAATGTGAGTCGTAGCGGAACGAAACGAGTGCGTCTTTCACTTGAAATAACATAAAATGCCCAAGAACTTATATGCAGACGCAGACACACATCAGCACTGTGATTTCGAAGAAGGTGGAGAAAGCTTTCTCATGGCTTGATATGAAAAAAACGAATTATGGATTAATGTAGTTATTTGAACAAATTCTGTTACATTTACACCTGTGCTCTTCTTGCTCATGCAGTCCAGACGATGTATTCATTGTTGTATATAGATGTCACTCGAAGCAGCGACTCAAACGTCTTGTACGGTTTTGGTCCAAATTAATCAAGTCACATTTTGTACTCGCATCACGGGAAATAATTAGCAGTACAAATAGATACTGTAAGGGTTTAATGATTATTCTAGTATACATTATATTTTTTCTAGTTAACTCATATTTAAATAAATATCCCAGAAACACTTGCGTCACTTCAAGTGTAATCCAGAAATGCACTCGTTAAGGGCGATCGTGACGTCCTCCGTGCATTATTTGGGGGATGAGTGCCTATTTTTGCAATCCCTATTTTTACCCCGGTTTCCTCACTCATATAATGATCTTGTGCAAAATTCAATGGAAGTGACGCAGAGCTTTAACAAAGAACATTTTATTTCGAAGGCATGCTGCAAACCCACATTTCCCCTCAAGTTTCGCATAATTTGTACAGTACACTACTTTGGATGATAGATGGAGCAAATAAAATATACGATGAGTATAGGTCTGCGAGTCTGTGGAACAATTCTGTCGTCAGGAAATTTCTGTTCATCTCATTTCATCAAGTCTAGGCCAAATTGCAGCTGACGTCTAAAATATGCATTAATTATACTCACGTATACAGTAAAACAAATTCTGTGCTTTTTCTGGCAACAATTTATAGACAGTTTGTAAGAATAAAAGTATGAATCAGAGGATCAAAAGGAATACAACTCAATCAAGGTTGCGTAAGTCCACTTTTCAAATACAGTAAAATCTTGTAACAACAAACTCCCAGGGACCTGAGAAAAAATTCATTTTAACAAAAAATACATTATATTTAGATTAATGATTTTTAGCTCATTTCAGACAGGAATTTCATTGGAAATGGGGAATACATACTTTAAAATGCTTCTAAAACAAATAATTCAAGTACTTCTGATGAAATGAAGTGAAATCCTTTGATATAAATTGAACTTTCCTTTAAAAGAAGTAACATTGGTACTAAAGTATTGCTTGCCTTCAAAAATAAAATCAAACAAAATTAAATATGGTAAAAATACTGCACTTTGTTCTCAATCAACTTATTCACACATAGCTCTTTCAAACATGGAGTAACATTCTTCCCCTGTCCCTAACATTACATACTGCTTATTTGAAAAAGGCATGCATTCTAAAATGGTTGAGCTGAAGAATTTCCAAAATTATGTGCTGTTGTGTTTTTTTTAACACCAAGTTTTCTATACATGAAGATTTCTTTTTTGTGAATTTTTAATGCTGCATCTAAAAATGTTTTATACATTTTCTGCCATTTATTGAGCAATTTCTATATGGGTCATGCAGAGCATCATATGCCCAAAATTTTTTATAATGAGATTACAGCCTAAAATTACTTTGTTTTAATGAAATTTTTATAACATTATGCCTAAGGGAAACTGCCAGGACCACAAAAATCGTTATAACGAGAAATTTGTTATAACGAGATTTGTTGTAATGGAATTCTACTGTATATGGTTCACGTTTTCAGGAGCTTCCTTGATTTGGAGATAAAATGCTCCAGACTTTTTTTTTGAAAGGTTTACAGACATCTTAAAATGATATGACGCAGATCTGTTACAAAACTGTTTGTTATACCAAACCATTTTATATCAATAAATGGGTTTACATTTGCCACCCAAGGGTTCCCCTATTTATTTTCTCCAGCAATCCCGGGAACCATCTTGCAAGTGCCTCACGTATATGTAACCACAGTGGGATCATGAGTTAACCTCTTTAAAAAGTTATGATTTAAGGATATTTTCACTACCTTATTGTTGTCATGAAAGCTTACACATATGACGAAATCTGATTCCATTTAAAATATTGAATGCGTTGCTTTTCGCGACGTCGCATGTATCTAATATACACTGGAAGCCAACACGGAAATCAAGAGATACGTCGAATCGACTTACAGTTTGAGCTTTGAAAATTTCCCCGAAATCTGGAAAATGTATCGAGTTGCAGACACTCCACCAAAATCACCAGTAAAAGGAAGCATTTTATTTTCAAAAATCTTGATAGTTCATTGCCATTGGAGCATCAAGTGAAAAATACTCATTAAAAGTTGACTCGAAATTATTTGCCAAAATAACGGCATAATTTTGTGCTTCTCGTCTTGTAGGAAATTTTCAATACACTGCGTACAGTGTAGCAAAATTTGTGCTTATTCGTTTTTTGGACTCCGTTTTGTGCCATAACAGCAAATACTTCGTAATTAATCTCATCTACAGCTATTTTCTGCGTATTTGAAAGATGCATGGTTCCTTTTATTTTTGAGGGTTTTTCAAACTTTTGTCCTCAGGGAAAAGTGATTCAAGTGTTCCCATTAAATCTATGGGAAAATATGATCCGACTTTCGGACGTTCTGACATATGGACGCATATGATAATTAAGAAAGTCCGCATGTCGGGGCCCCATTTATGCTTCTAATGCTCAGTAAGCTTTCCGGTTGGAAAATCGATTGAAGGTAATTTTTATCTGGATTTGCTCGTGGAAAGATTTACAAATATCCTGGAAAAATATGAATGAAGAGAGAAAAGAACATTTTCTTACGCGGATACCACATGTTTTCCTCATGTTTTCCTCCGCAGATTCATCCTCAGTTGATACGCTCGGAACGCAGCTTATTTTTTTCGAGCTTGTTTTCGTGGAATGGATTACGAGTTTCCGGTGAAAATATGCATTACAGACGCGGTAAAATGCATGTTTGTGTTTTTCTCGCGATACGCGTAAGCAGCAATAATGGAATATGACGGAAGTCTAGCCGTTTAGCGGAATATTCCAGATTGATTTTTCAAAGAGCATGGACATGGGGCATGCATTCGGCATTGTTTTTTTTGGGGGAGTTTTCACAACGGAGATAAACTCGCGGGATTTTCGCCGCGGGTATGCTTTTCGTCCGCGGCAGGATGTGGAGGTTGAGCACAGAAGCTGGCGCATGGACAAAGTTGCAACCAGGGAGGACAGGACCCAGGCCCCTCCCAAGAATTTCCAGCTCTGTCCCGCTGTCTGGAGAGCCTTGCAGTTCCCCGGAGCGAAGCGACCCCAGTTGGGACCCAGGACATTCACCAGCCCGGCGGCTCCGGAACACGCTGAACCCTGCGACCGCTAATGCGCCTTCTTTCCTTTTCCGCAGACACTCGAGTCACAACATGTATCGGCATTTAGCATTTAGTAGAATGTGTTGTAGATTCGCGGTTTTATGACTGTTTGTGCACTTGGTGTCTGTTCTGCCAGCAGACCGGTTCAGGATCGACGGTGACGTTTGTATTCGTCCCGAGCAAGGCCACTCGCATTCGGTGATCTTGCCGAGGATCGAGTCGGACCAGTGCTTGGCTTCTTCGTACCCCAACTCGAGTATGACGGTCACCACGTCGCTGGCCAGTAATGGGAAAGAATTTGTCTTCAATGGTGAGTTCCACGTGCTGTCATCCAATCCTTTCCATGCATATATATCCATATATAAGATTCCACATCATCCCGAAATGAGATCAACCTTTTAGGGGCATGTGGTACAGTCAGTCTTTGACGAGTCCCAATAATTTTCATGTTCTGTGCCATTTCTTCGGTATACCATCCATGATGCCACATGTCTTCGATTAATCCCATTGCTAAAAATGCATATATGTTGGTTTGAGAACAATGATTCCTTACCTCGCACGTTTATTGGTACTTTATGTCTAACCTATTTTTTTTACAGATTATTTTGTTTCAATAAGCCCATAACCCAATCCGTCTCTACGTGGGCTTTCGGAATAACGATAAGACTCGTCTCCAATTCAATTCATAACATTCTTAATTTTGTCACCGACAATTCCACGTGCCAACTGGTCAATTAGCCCTTTTTCTGGATATGTTCTTTGATTGAGGACTATAATTTCATAAATTTTAATTGAGAACTATGTGCGTATTAACCAACGTAATTCATGTGCCTGAAATAACTTTATGCATGTGCATGAACTAACTTCCTTCATGTATGTGTATGAACTAACTTCCTTCATATATGTGTATGAACTAAATTCCTAATTGAAATGCAATGCCTTTTTTTTCAAGAAACACAAGTTACCCGAACCGTTCCTCAGTTGGTTTAACTTGAGTTTGCAATTGAGGCAGACAAATCCAATACAAGTCCTCATAATGTTTTCTTCGAGTATGTACCACCAGTGGTATACAGTACGCGTTTACGATCGAAGCCCTATAAGTATTTAATATTGTTGTCCCGAAAGCTTGAGATTAGATGCAGTCGCAAATGGATAAAATAAAACAGTTGAAATACGATACAGTATATGATTTCTCTTTCGAGTGACATGGAATACGTCCTCCCTCATACGCGCCGGTTATGCGGTCCGCACCCTGCAGTTCACTGGATCGATTACCGACTTGGACGAGGTCCTTTGGGTGACCTCGCTCTTGTACTCCTCTGTACATATTTTCAAGTCAGCTAATCGAAGCAAACGATTTCTAGTTCCAACATCCTGCCTAGAAGAAAAGGGTCAACATCCGCGGATTACGCTGACGGGTATTACAGTATATACACTATAGCAGTACAATATATTATAGCGAGTCAATGGCATTCCCAGAAGCGTTGAGTCATTCGAAAACCATTCCCTGGAAGGATTGAGATTTCTTTCGACTTCTTTTCCTCATTTCTCCTATACATGCAGGAATGGGATAATCCGCACTGCATTGGATCTTGCTATAGCTGAAGTACATTATTGCAAAACTAAGGAAAGGTATACGAATCTATAATCGTCTATACAAAGACGAGCTGAATGGATCTTTCTGTGGTGCACAGACTTCATAGTTCCTTTTCCATCATGTGACGTAATATTTTTCTTCAACAAGTAAATCCTTCCTATTCAAAAATTTTGCAGTAGATGTACATATTCTCTTGAATTCCGCTTATCTGGGCCACTGGCCACTGACAGGGTGCCTTCGTCAATTTAATCGAGATATACGGATAAATGAATTCTTCATAAATATTTTCAATAAATTAATTTTGAAGGATCAATATGCATTCAATATAAACAATTGATTCCTGCATATTTCGCGGCGTATTGCCCAGGATAATTAGTTGCATTTAATGATGATACTTTTTTCATCTTAATGAATGTATGATATTTTGGGCGTGATTCCCGCTGCGAAATCGAAATTCCCTGTTATCTCAAAATGGTGACAGGAAGTTTGGCTGACGTCGGGGTGCATATAAGTTTTAAGGAATGTTAGATGAGGTGTAAGTGCTGGGAGAGGGACGATATCATATTAAAGATTAGTGCCTCAAATGGAGTTGAATTTTGAAAATCGGATGCAGCATTCGATTTCCACTCACTATATTACGTTCCCCGAGGGACTGATGGCTATTCTGAATCTGCAAAACAAAGTTAATATGAAGAGCTTTTGCGACGTTCGTGCTTCTTGCAAGGTTGAACTAGAATGAATACTGGAAAGGTCGTTAAGCATTGATCTCGGAATTCATCAATTATCTCTGTATGTTTGATGACGTCTCAAGTAGAGAACTGAAGGAATTACTTCATCAAGCTGCAAGAATCACAGGTGGTGCATCTCGAGTGAGATTGCACTTCTACCTCATAGAAATTTCATGAGTTTCTGTGCAACCGCTACAGTCGAACAGACTACAGGTGCATTTCCGCGTTTCGACATACGAACAGAAGAAGTTTCTCGGCGCTGTGCTGAGGGCAACTCACAAAGTATAGAATGGGCTTCAGACATTCACGCGGAAGTTTTCTCGCTGACACGGGCTAAAAGCTTGCCCTTTGATTCATATTTCATGCCGATAATGCGTCCCAGAAAATAAGCTTATTACAGTACAGTACGGGTATTCTGCCGCAGGTACAGCTTCCTTCTTTATTTAACAAGTCTTCGTCTATATGCACAAAATGTCTAATGGAGCTTCATGACAAAGTAAAATGAATTTCCGGATCCTGTTTACTAATTTTTTCGTGAAAACGCCGCACATACTCACCATTTAAACTTCGGTATGGATATATCAGGGAAATTGCGAGATATGCGTGCAGTGCAAGAAGAAGTTTACATTCCGGAATAAGTTCCGAATTCATCATTTTGATCCACGGAGAGATGTACATGGAACTACTGTAGTAATTTATTGCCTCATTTTACGTGATTCGTGAAAAACGTTTTATGAACCGAAAAATTCAGGAAGTTTGTGTGCGAGTCCTCCGTATTGATAGCCGGCGTTATGTAAGTTAAGGAAGAATTTTATTCACAACTCCTCATTCCAGTCAACTCATTTGTAGCGTGTGGCTGAAAGGTGAACTTCTTCAACAAACCTTCGCACACTATAATCCCGGAAAAAGCATCTACCTGACAAAAACGTCTTCCAGAAATCTCCCGAAGTGAAATTACGTGCACTCCAGATAAATGTCTTGAATGAACTTCATGGGGTTTTGTGCTGAACATCAAAGGAGGCATTAAAGCCCACTTTGAACAACACGATCCCCTGAAGCTGCGATAAGCTTTCACTGAATGGCTTTTTCATTTTTATTCCTGGAATCTTGAATTCAAAAGAGAAAATACCAGTTTCCTTCCGTTCAAAAATTCTTGACGCAGTGTCTCAACTCGAATTATCCTGTATTCACTAGATCATAGTCCACAATGTACTTGTTTAAAAAAAAGTTCACCGCAAAACACTTTATTTGCGCAGGTTGTCATACTCGGGATAGTAAAGCATTTGGGCGTTTTAAATATTCGAACTAAAGTTTCCTATGAGTAGCCTGTTTTTGAAATTACTGTATGTGGCCTTTTTAAAATTTGAAGTGGAATTAGCATACAAAAGCTTCGGTTCAACGCATATTCTTCCACTCATCCCTCTTCTTTTTGTCATTGCTGGCTATCGCCAAAAAGATTTATAATTTTTATAGTTATATTCCTTCAACAAAAAGTAGAAGAATTTTTTCGCGTATCGGCCGTGATTTTCTTCAAGAAAGTCCAATTGCCGATCAAAACATGAACAGTTCTGCTCCGATGAATAACTCCCCTAAATATATTTACTGTATGTGCGGCCCGGCCTAGATACAGTCGATTGAATGCGGTTACCGACATTAAAAAATTTTGAAAAACTTTGATTAGGGGATTTTTTGAATTTCAATTCCGCCTCTGATTTCTGATTGATGAACCGAATGCAATAAAGCATTTGGTAGAGCTCGGATTCCTCAAACAGTTTTTGTTTCTCCGCAGTCATTAGCATTTACTCTTCATTCCTTGAACCCCGTGCAAGATTCTATGTCATGCATGCATGGTGTGATCACGCAGAATCCTGAAGGAACATGAATAGATACTCGTCTGTCCGGAAAATACGACTAGCGACGAAAATTGCGACGGGACAAAGCACATTAATTTACATTCACCTCCAAGGCATGTGCAGCGGATGGGGCTTCCGGAAATCCCCCTCCGCCGTCTGCTGGCCCTTCAATCAAAAATACACGACGGCCGGGGTTCTGCTTTCATTGATTTCCCTGGGTGAGAGTTGACTTCTTCGTCCACCGAGCGTCGTAGGAGAAACCCTAAGATGAATTCCATCGATCATAGGCTCTCGAGTGGGTCACCAATCCGCACAGAAGCCTCGGGAGTATTCTGGGCTGGTCGAAGCGCCACAGATTATTCATGTCTCGATTTCCTCCTCCATTCAAGGCACACCCACGCGAACAACCAAGAAAGAACGCCTGTGGTATGGCCGAAACTCTATTCCTTTCGATGGGAATGACGAGAAAGAAAAAATAATTCTAGCGTAGATTAGATACCTCTGAAGCCACCAAACATCGCAAATTGTTTATCCCGTGGGAACTTGAATGTAGCTCTTGAAATATCATTTATTCCCGAGTCGGGGATTTCATTGAATTATATCCTCCTCTAGTCCTGTTTAATGAAGGAGACGCTGACGAGGACCCGAGTATGCAGTACTAGAAGAAGAATGTATGTTTCCGTCGACAGAGTTCCATCTGAGTCGCAGACTCGCATCGAATAAACTCGACTTCATTGTAGTCCAAAGAGATGTATGAGCTGAGATTTAAACAAGTTCTTGAACATGGGCATGAACGTTATTTTTCTCCACGGTCATGAGCAACTTTCGAGCAA